GATTCACATGGACCTAACAGCTTGAATGGTGACTGGGTGCTCAGCTGGCACAGATGTGAGCTGATGCTTGATGGGGTACAAGACCTGCAAGCTGAGCCTCCCTGGTGGTGCAGTGGTTAAGAATCCGCCTGCCAATGCAGGGGACACAGGTTCGAGCCTTGGTTCGGGAAGATCCCACATGCCACGGAGCAACTAAGTCCGTGTGCCACAACTACTGAGCCTGCACTCCAGAGCCTGCGAGCCACAACTACTGAGCCCATGTGTCACAAGTACTGAAGCCCACGCACCTAGAGCCCGTGCTCCGCAACAAGAGAAGCCACTGCGATGAGAAGCCCGCATACCGCAACAAAGAGTAGCCCCTGCTCGCGGCAACTAGAGGAAGCTCGCGCGCAGCAACGAAGACCCAACGCGGCCAAAAAGAACAACCTGCAAGCTCTGCTCTTGGTCAGGCTCCCTGGAGCTCAAGGTGCACCCTGGAGGGGAAGACACTTCCCAGCAGTCAGCACTGTCTGAGTCCCTCCAGCTGGGCTCTGAGGGCATATGGCCTTCATCCAGCATTAACTGAGCGCTTCCTAGAACCTAGCCCAGGGTGCAGTGGTCGTGGGATGCAGTCCCCAGGAGCACGGGGTAGGGAAGTGGGGGCAGGTGGCTCCGGAGCCCTGCTGCCTGGGTTTGGCTCCCAGCTCCAGCATTTATAAGATGTGGTGCCTTGGGCCAGTAACCTGTACCTTGGTTTCCTCATCTGCAAAAAGGACATAATATAGGTACTAACCTCAGAGAGTTGTTGTGAGGATTAAATGAGTTCAAGAGCAAATTGATTAGAGCCGTCTGGCAAGGGGTTAGCACGCGGTAAGGGGTAGCGATGGTTATTTCATTGCTCCCTGTAGGATTTTTGTTTCCTCGTCTAGGTTCTGTATTCTGGAGGACATGGATGGTGGCTTTACCCCTTCTCTCTGTCTTCCAGGGACCAGATGTACAGCAAGTTGCCCACACACCTGGAAACTTAGTTACAGATATTGGGGCATTTCCACGCCCCCCCACCCCCGCCCTGTTCCTCGCCCCTACATCCATTTGGTTCCTGAGTCCCAGAGATTCTGACTCCCCAACCTCTCTGGTACTTATTCCGACTGCCCCTGCCGTCTGTCATCTTGGTCCTGGGTCCCTGTGGCAACCTGCTAACTGGTCTCGCAGCTGCTGGACCGAAATGCTCTGCAAGCTACTCTCCGCCCTGCAGTTGAGGCAGGAGATAGATGGGCCCCAGGCTGAGCAGCCGGAGCTCGTCCCCTGTGCACAGATACTCCAGAATAGCAGGAGGGACGAGAGCTGAGCCCTGCCCGGATAAGAGATAAAAGACTGCGCATGCCTCATTCTTGAAGCCACGGAGACCTTCCCAACTATACGTGCTCAGAAAGGCTCCTTGAAGGTCAACAACGGAGGGGGCGCCGCTCCATAGTAAGTGACATCAACCTACCCACAGGCCTCTTTGCTAGGATCCATCTTGGCTAAGAGATGCGCGCGCATACATGGGAGGACCCTGAGAGAAACAAAATATGGACTCAGAACCAGGCAAAGCGAGATGATTGGCCAAAGGAAACCCGGAAGAAATGCCCCACATAAGTGATTCAAAATACCATATAGAGGGCTTCCCTGGTGGCTCAGCTGTTGAGAGTCCGCCTGCCGATGCAGGGGACGCGGGTTCGTGACCCGGTCCGGGAGGATCCCACGTGCCGCGGAGCGGCTGGGCCCGTGAGCCATGGCCGCTGAGCCTGCGCGTCCGGAGCCTGTGTTCCGCAACGGGAGAGGCCCCCACAGTGAGAGGCCCGCGCACCGCTAAAAAAAAAAAAAAAAACTACCACAAGGGTGTAATTCTGAGTGGGCCCATGTGTCTATCCACATGTACTCTTTTACCTCCTAATAAATACTTTACTTGTTTCACTACTTTCTGTCTTTGTGGGAATTCATTTATACAAAGCCGAAGGGCCAGGGCCTTGTCCCTGGCCACTGGTCTAGTGGCTAGGATTCAGCGCTCTCACTGCTGCGGACTGACTTCAGTCTCTGGCTGGGGATCGAAATCCTGCTTCAAGCCGCTGCTGTAGGCTGAGGCCACCCGAGATCACAGTCAGAGTGCAGATCCTTAGAAGGTGATCTGAGTACGCCACACTCCTGCATAACACCATGCAACGGCTCCCCCGTCACCTTCGAGACAGAGGCATCCACGCCAGGCCCTCCTGCTGGCCCGCTTCCTCCCTATGTCCCAGGCCTCTGCAGCCCGCTGCCCGCCTCTCCAGCCTTCCTGAGTCTCTTGCAGTCCTTACTGCTTTGCTCTCTTTATGCTCCTGTGACTGTGCATGTGACTCCAGGCACTCTGTTCCTTTCGCCTGGGCTGCACTTGCCCGCATCAGCCCCCTCCCTAACCCTGACCCCTCCTTCACACTCAGCTCAGGCTTTGCTGACTCCAGTGAGCGCCCCTGGGTTCCCCCTCCAGGCATATTCCATGCCCCTCCTCTGGGCTCCCAGAGCACCCTGAGTTTATAAAGCTCGTATCCATTCATTACACAAATATTTACTTCCCAGAGCGCCTCCTCTGTGCCAGGCACTGTTCCAGCTGCTGGGGATATAGCAAAGCAGCTGAACGCCCCTGCCCTGGGAAGCCTGCATACCCCACCACACTGCTGGTGAGTTTCCTCATGACAGGTGAACACCTGGAGGACAGGCAGGGCTCATGAGTTCTTTGACTCTGTGTCCTCAGTACTATGAGTGTAGCTGTCAATAAATGTTGGATGCTGGATGTATTTCAGGCACTGAGCTGGGTGCTGGGGAGAAAAAGTGCATAGGACAGGGATGGAGTATCCGGGGCTATGAGAGTCAGCAGATGTGATGGTTAGGAGTGCGGCTCTGGGGCAGGTGCCTGTGTTCAGATCCTGAATCTGCCTCTTACTAGTGGCGAGAGCTTGAACAATCTCCTCATCCTCTATGTGCTTCAGTTTCCCCATCACAACAGTGGGCTTATCATACTATCTTTTTTTTTTTTTTTTTTGCGGTACGCGGGCCTCTCACTGTTGTGGCCTCTCCCGTTGCAGAGCACAGGTTCCAGACGCGCAGGCTCAGCGGCCATGGCTCACAGGCCCAGCCACTCCGTGGCATGTGGGATCCTCCAGGACCGGGGCACGAACCCATGTCCCCTGCATCGGCAGGTGGACTCCCAACCACTGTGCCACCAGGGAAGCCCTATCATACTATCTTATAACGGTGTCAGGAAGGTTAAAAGGGTTAATATTTATAAAGCACTTAGGACAGTGCCTTGCGCATAGTCAGTGCTTTATACAGGAATAAATATTCACTAGACAAATGAATAGCAATCGTAGATTCTGAACATAGATAGTCCTGGATTCAAATCATTTCTCTGCCAGGTCCGAATCATAGGTAATCCTGGAAAAGTCATTGAACCAGGCTGAGCCTCGGTTTCCTCATCTGAAGGTACTAACAATACCTCTCTCACTGAGATGCCGTCTCCAGGGATTCCAGGAGCCCACGCTCACAGTGTGCCCAGCACAGGACTGGCACCAGGTAAAGACTTTGAAATGCAGCTCTTCTAATGTGGCAAAAGCAAGATCCTGCCCTCGAGGGGCTCATGGTCCCCGAAGGGAGAATGCAAACATTGGCCTCTGCTCACTGCTCAGATGTCACCCCCTCCAGGAAGCCTCTCTAGAATCCCGTGGTCCCCCCACTCTTTTGTACTGCCATGAATGCGTCTCCCCCTGTGCCTCCTATGGACTTTTGCTTTAAATTCCAGCTCCGAAACTGACCAGCTGTGTGGCACTGGACCTTCACTTCCCTCCTCTGAGTCTTAGTTTTTTTTTTTTTTGAATGAAAAAGGAGATAGGGCTTCCCTGGTGGTGCAGTGGTTGAGAGTCCGCCTGCCGATGCAGGGGACATGGGTTCGCGCCCCGGTCCGGGAAGATCCCACATGCCGCAGAGTGGCTAGGCCCGTGAGCCATGGCTGCTGAGCCTGCGTGTCCGGAGCCTGTGCTCCGCAACGGGAGAGGCCATGACAGTGAGAGGCCCGTGTGGCAAAAAAATAATAATAAAATTATTTTTATAATTTTATTATAAAAAATAATAGCAGCAAAAAAATAATAATAAATAAAAAATAAAAATAAAAAAAAAAGAAAAAGGAGATAAAATCACCTTCAACAGAATATCATTGTGGGAATCAAAATGTGGGAGACAATGTCTGCCAGACACCAAGACGTGCCTGGCCATTTGTGGGTCCTCAATAAATGCCAATTCCCATTTCGCTCTCTTCATCTGACCATGGTCTCCAGGTCATTCGAGAGCCTGATTTAACTCTGTAACTCCTGGAGATGGTGGGTAAAAGAATCAGTGAATAAATGAGGGTGTGAATGAATGGGAGATGAACACATAAGTGACTGCAGGAGCGGGTGAGATGTTTTCTGGGTCTGCTCGGGCATGTTCCAACCCTCACCTCTGCCCATCCCCTCCTCCACACACTGCCCCACCTTGAGACCTTTGCACAAGATGGAATTTTCCTCCTTTTCCCCATTGCCTGGCTAACTCTTGCTGGACTCCCTTATCTCTGCCCAGGGTCACATTTTTAAGGAAGCTTCCCCTGGCCCCTGCCCCCAGCCCAGGGGTAGGCGGTAGTCTAAGGTCACAACCTGAAGTACTTTGAAGTTGTAATTTGACATTTCTTTGTGCGGTCCTCTCGTTAATTGATGTTACCCCTGCTAGGCGGTGGACCCCGTGGGAACAGGGACAGTGCATTTTTGTATCCCCAGAGTTTGGCACAGCGCCTGGCATAGAAAGGGCCGTTTGCGCCCTGAACGTGAAGAGACGGGACCTTTTGGTTGGTGTGTCTCTGCACCCAGGTCCTTCCTCTCTGCCTGCCCAGTGCCCTGTCCCTGGGTCTCATGCTCCCCTGTCCATGAGTGTGGGGTTCCTGCTGTAATCGGAGGGAGAGGGCTGGCCTCTGGGCATACCTCAGTCACAATGGAGTCCCTGGTGCTGACGTCGTAGGTCCAGCCATCCAGGCAGGGCTCGGTGGCCCCCTGGGTGTCATTGGGCAGGCTGGCGTTGGGTGGATATACAAAACGGAGGCACGGCTCAGGCTTCTCATTCAGGCCCACGGGGAGCACCCAGGGCCCCGCGGAGGCGTTGGGTGGCGGGCGGCAGTGGTGGGCGGGGGTGGCCGCTGTGAAGATCTGCAGCAGGTTGTGGTTGGCCATGCTCAGGATCGGGAGGCCGAGCAGGACTGTGTGCAGGAACTGGAAGGGTCCTTTGCTGGCCACGCGGTCAACGAGCTCGGCGAAGGTCATGGCACCGGACAAGATGAGCCAGAGCTACGGGTGGGTGGGGCACCGGGCCGGGGAGAGGGGTGTGTGCACGGGGGTGAGGGCGGGCAGGTGGATGGGTGTGGAAGCACAAGGGGGAGGGTGCGCCCAGGTGTATGTGTAAGCCTGTGTATGCAGAAGTGTGTGAGGATGTGGGGCTCAGCTGTGCGTACCCACAGATTTGCGTGTGGATGAGGATGTACCCAACTGCGCGTACAGACATGGGGTCACAGGTGTGGTGTGTGTTCACGGCAGTGTCTGCTGGGATGTGCACATTTAGGCTGGAGTGTAAGGGCACAGCTGTGTGAGCGCGGGTGTGTCGCTGTGTGCGTGTGGGGACTTGTGGGTGTGAGTATGTGTTCAGCCAGGCTGGTCACACGCGCTGCAGGCATGGGGCAGTGCAGGCCAGGCCGCTGGGACCAAGGGGCCCCGTCTTGGACATTGTCCCCACAGGATGGATGTCAGGAGTAAGTGGGAGGGGTCCCTGGTTGCCTCGAGCAGACACACAGGACTGGCAGAGCTCAGGTTGCCTGCTGGGAATGTCTCCCCAAGCCCGGCGCCTCCTGGTTTTGGCTGTCCCCTGGGGCTGGGTGCACCATAGCAGGGCAGCAGAAAGGGGCCAAGCAGATCCCAGAGGGCGTAAGGGACTTGGTCGGTTGCAGTGCGGAAGCAAGGCCCGGCCTTGGGGGCTTCCCAGGGGTCCCTACTCACCTGGTAGCTGGGCCTGGCTCCTCCCTCCGGTGGGGTCGGTGGTCGATATGGCTGAAACCCTTGCTCTGTCCAGGGTCCGGCAGCTGCTGTAGTTTGGCAGCTCGGCTCCAACAAGCTGTGTTTGTGCCTTCCCCAGGGGAGCTTATATAAGGCATAAGCTGTTTCCCAGGCTAATGTTTGACTTTCTTTTGGGGATTAATGACACTGGCAGGCCCAGGGCTGTGGACCCACTAAGCCCAGCTTTCCTCAAAGGGCCGCCTCTGCAAAGGCTGGTGTGGTGGCGTGGCTGAGTGTAGTGGGGCTGCTGGGGGGACAGAAGCCTAGGTGGTCCGGGCAGGGGGAGTCTGGGGAGGGGGTGGGGGGCTGGCTTGAGTGCTGAGGGCCCAGGGTCCTCTCTGAGCTGACGGTCTGAAGACTTGGAGCTGAGAAAGGCCAGTGAGAGAGGTGCTACTGCCCGTGAGTGGACAGTACTCTCCAGGGCACCGACTTCCCGTGCCTGGTGCCTCTTGGTAGGGCACAGGAAATAGTAGGGCACGTCCAGGCTGAAAACGTCACCTGTGTCTGTCCCTGAGAGCTCCGGGCTGTCACCCCCTGGGCCCCTGGGGCAGCCAGGGCTCCCCTGTCTGAGTCTCAGACCCAGGGGAACACCCACGCCCCCTTCCATCCCCATGCTCAATGGATGGGCTCCTCTTCTGACAACTGATTCCCTTTAAAGACAACTTGCCGTCCCTGTGGTTCTGTTTTTTCCTCTGAATATTATTTTAATTATATAATCAACTGTTTCTCACATAAAGTACAGGAAATACAAACAAGCCAAACAAAACAAAACGCCCAGTCTCACCTGACAGCCAGGCCTCTGAGTGATCTGATGTATGTGCTTCCAGCCCTTTCCTCATGAGACCGCGGTCTAAGCCCCCACTTTCTTTTTTTTTAATAAATTTATTCATTTTATTTATTTATTTTTGGCTGTTGGGTCTTCGTTGCTGTGCGCAGGCTTCCTCTAGTTGCGGCGAGTGGAGGCTACTCTTCCTTGCAAGGGCTTCTCATTGCCGTGGCTTCTCTTGTTGCAGAGCACAGGCTCTAGGCACGCAGGCTTCACTAGTTGTGGCACAAGGGCTCAGTAGTTGTGGCGCACGGGCTTAGTTGCTCTGCGGCATGTGGGATCTTCTGGGACCAGGGCTCGAACGCGTGTCTCCTGCATTGGCAGGCGGATTCTTAATCACTGCGCCACCAGGGAAGCCCCCTAAGCCCTCACTTTCTAGCAGCCAACGTGAGTCTCGTTTAACCCTCACAGCAGCCTTGTTGTACTATTCTAGCATTATCCTAGGAAATTGAGGCACAGAGAGGTTAAGTAACTTGCTCCTGGTTCCCCAGCCAGGAAGTGGCAGGGCAGGGGCAGTGTGGCTCTAAGCCCACTTCTGTCTCTTGGAGCCAACATTTCTGCAAAGTCCGTGGGGCACTGTGCTGCCTCTCCCTTAGCAAGGTCTCCTAGCCTGGCCTTCAGAATCATTCCTGCCTGCCTTGAGCTCTCGGGTTCTTCCTCCAGGGACCCTAGGAGCTACCCCTCCTGCCTGCTCTGGGGGCTAAGAAGGAGCCCAGCTAGGGCTCCCCTTCTCGGTTGGGGAGGGGGCTCCCCATTCTCTTCCTTGGCCCCTTCTCCACCAAGGCAGCATCCAGCTCCCTGGGCTCAGGCTGGAGGCTCAGGCTCCCCCTGAAGTCTCCTCCAGGCTTCCTCCCCTACCGGCCTCCCCAAGGGCAGGGTCAGCAGTAACCCGGGTCCAGCCCCTCCTCTCCGCTCCCCACCTGGGCCCAGCAGTAATTGATGTTCTTAAAGTGGCCCGAGGCAGGGCAAGATCCGGAGTCATCAAAGGAAGATTCAGTTATGCTCCGAGGCAGCCAAGGGGTTGTTTTAGGAAGGTTTTCGACTGTGAAGCTTGCAGAGAGCTGGGCCTCCTCCCTGAGCCCCCCGGTTCTGGGCATTCGCCCTCTGTGAGACTTTCCGGTTCCTAATTGGGCCAGGGTTATCTGATTGTTCCTGTCCTAGTGGAATGTTGTTTAAAGGAGCCTGATGGCCTCCCACTGCGGCTGCTGGAACTGAGCCAGAGTATAGCCCAGTCAGGGGCAGTGCCCCCGACCCCCATGGATGTGCTTGGATTCCTGAATCTGAACTGAAGGAATGTGTTGATGCACTGGCTGTACGACCTTGGGCAAATCACCTCCCTCTGGGCCTCTTGTTTCTCTTTATTAGTTAAGTGGCTTAAAACACACACACACACACACACACACACACACACACACAGGAACCTTTTATTCAAACAATATAGTGGGTTCCTAAGGTCAACATATAAGTCAGATCCTAAAGGAGGTGGTCTGCTTAAGTGGTGAAGTGGGTGGAGAGAAGCCCCCTCCACACCCCCAGCCTCCTAGCCCATCCTTCCCTTTGGCACCTTTTGCCCCAGGCCATCCCAGCCTGAGGCAGCTCCATTATATTAGAGGATCCATTTCCTCTTACATGCTGTGATCCTAAATTCAATATGTTGAAATTAACTTTTTTTTTTTAAAGAAACGATGCATTTGGGAAATCTTACATACTAGATGCATTTTCTAAAAATGCATTTTTAATTTGGGGCATGGGAATCGATTTTCTTCCTTCTTTCCTCCTCCCTTCCTTCCCCCTTCTTTCTTTCTCTTTCCTCCTTTCATTTTTGCCTAAACTCTTCTAGAGCCTGTAAGCTGAACTAGGTTCAATCAGTTGCCCTGTTCTTTGCTGGGTCCCAGCACTGACATGTGTTTTGCTCTGGAGAGGCCCAAAGAATCATCTAGTCCAATGTCCTCATCTTATATAAGGGAGACTGAGGTCCAGTGAGGGAAGGCACACAGATCTGACTCCCTGTGTCCCTTGCAGCTCCACACAGTACAGTCTCTAAGTCTTCAATTCACTGAGCAGAGGAGGGGCTGTGATAAGTGAAACAGGGAGATCTCATTCCCTTGGAGGGGGAGTTCTGGCCAATTACGGAGGCCATACTGAATCTCTGTGGGCCATCCACCCTCCTACCCACTCATTTGTTCATCTGTTTATCTGGTCTCCTCCCCATCCATCCATCCATCCATCCATCTTTCCTTCCTTCCTTCCTTCCTTCCATCCATCCAATGTGTCTCATGCTTTGTGTGTATGAGGCCCCATGCTAGGAGCTATGGTGCCTGCTAAAACTTACAGTCCACTTGTCAGAGAAGACAGTGTTCCAGAAACAATTACAGCATAAATGAGACTGACCTCAATGCCACAGGAGAGGTCCACACAGTTTCAGTGGTCTCAGGAGAGGGAGAAAATGACCAGATCTGAGGGATCACATCAGGGTGGGTTGCCCGTAGAAGGTGGCATTTACACAGGCAGAAATGGGGAGGGAATTGCAGACCCAGCAGGGTGAGTGCAGGGCATGGTGGGAAAATGGGAGGTAAACTGGATGAAATAGCATGGACAGAACCTCTCTTCCTACCCAGGTGGTGGCCTTGGTCACATCGCTGTGATAGTCTCAGAAGGGCTGACAATCCCTGGGCTTCTCTGTCTCCCTGTAGGTGGGAGGGGGGAGCTCCTGAGGTTGTGGCTCATGAGCTGACCGAGTCACGCTCAGCGGTGCTTAAACTCACCTTGTACAGACTCTGGGTCTCTTGCCCCTCTTCTAGGTCCCCTCCAGCTGAGTTGGCCATTTGAACTGTCCAGGTGTCTCTGTGCCTGGCACTGTCTGCTCACCACCCCTCATGGGTTCAAGGCAGAAGCTGTAGCATGTGTGGGGTCCTGTCCCGCTGCTCAGACTATAGCCCCAGGTGGGGATCGTGAGGCATTCAGTAAATTCCCAAGGGCCAGGAGCTATACCTCCCTGGTGGCCATGCTGAAGCCCTGAGCTTTCATCACTGGTTTAGGGGCCCCAGATTCTGCCCCGGTCCTTGGGCGGCTCCAACAGGATAGGTGGCCTGTGTGGGGGTGGTTTCGGCTGGACCCAGGCAAGGGATTGTCCTCTGCCCTCAAACCCTAAGCAACCCCTCCTCTTCCACGGGCTGATTCTAAAATTTCCTTCATGGGAACAAAGCAGTCCAGGGAAGAGGGGTTCCACAGGCCTGGATTTGAATCATGACTCCACCACTCGCTAATTGGTTGGCCCTGGGCCCGTGATGTCTCCTGTTTTAGCCTCAATTTCCCCACTTGTAAAATGGGGATTAATACCTACCTTGTAGGATTGCTGGGATTTAAAGTGCTAAGCACATAGTACTTAATTTGAG